GGAGGATTTTGACTGAAATCCTAGCATATTTTAAAACGCTAAATTTTTATAGATTACAGTAGTAGAAACTGAAGAGATTCTGTCAATAGTGACACCATGCTTTTAGCACCATGTTTGCTATACTTTCCTGTAAAATCAGCCAGCTGCAAACTATCTTCACAGGTCTGATTGGACAACGGATGTTTTGAGTCACCTGCTATTCACATCACAGTATAGATAAAACCTAGTTGATTTCAAACCCTGAAGTTCCAGCCAGAATGCTTTCACAAGGGTTTTGCTCCTGTTGCTCAGTTCAGATCCTTGTGCTCCTCTGATGTTTCAACCTAAGGGCAGCCTGGCAACTGCACATATCCAAAGTATAAATTCAAAGGCCAAACAGAGCAACTTTCTGGTGCATGTGGTAAAAACAGTGCAGTTCAGAGGGAAAATGGTCCAAGTTAAGTAAAGCATATCACTTAATGCAGGATCCAAAGAGTTGGATTGCATAAATCCAATGAATTAAGCAATTTATTTATTCAAAAAATATATTTTTTGAGCACCTACTAACTGCCCTGAGGATATAGCGGCTAACAAAACTGAGAAGGCCCTGCCCTCTAGTGGGAAAACAGACAATAAACAAGTACCTGAATAAATGCAGATTATGTTAGGCACTGACCCTGATGGGGTTCCAGTCAGGAATCTGTCAAGATTCCATTTTTGAAACACAAGGTGATTTTCTTCTTCTTTTTTTCTCAGTGAGACTTGAATGTTAGTAAATGTTCTTTAAGCGCTTAATCAAGAGGACATCACTGGCCCTTCAATGTCTCTCACAGATGCCATTTTTTTTTAAGTTTAATAAATCTATTGAGAGTCAAATATCGTATTTCTAGAGATATTATTTCTCTTCAGATACCAAGAAGTTTGTGACGCTTATCCTTTCATAAGAGGTGGATCTAAATAAATATGTGAATGAATAATTAGACGAATGACTTCATTTAGAAAGCTTTTAATAAATATATTTATTTCTATTTTTGAAAGAATAAGTGAAACAGTTCAAGTTATGCTTTGTGTCTTTAAATTTTGTACAATAGAGTTCTTATATCTAGAATAAATACTTAAGGAAGCCCCATGTTCTAATGAAACAAATAATTTGATATGTATTGTATTCATCATCTTAATGGCACATTTTAAAACAACACAATTTCAATACTTTCAGTTCAAAGTGTTTGTGATTTGTGTTTAGATTAAATAAAGCACTAATTACTTTTACATGAGGGATATACTTATATACAAAATTTATGTTTGATATATAAGTAATGGATGTTACCACAAATTACATTCTCCAATATTTAGTATAAATTTAAATTTCCAAAAGTAAAAATTTATAATAATTGCACTTCTATTTTGCAAAATCATCAAGAACACTTTAAAGCATAAAATGTTACTGGTTTTGGGATTTATAATGCCACAAAAATTTCAAAAGCTTTGTTTCCAACTTGCAATTCATGTGAAAACATGAATGATTTTTCTTTCAAGGAAACTAGCAATTTTCATAGGTACATTTTTAGATTGTGCCCTACATGTATTTTATTAGTGGAGTCTATATCTATGTTTGAAATAAATATTCAGCATGACTCAAGCAACAAGCAATAAATGGAATTCTATTAGATTCAATTATTCATTTTTGGGGTCTGTCTGGAATATTCAGCCACTTAAACAATCTAATAAGAGAAACAGCCATGAAAGGGTAGGAGGACAATCCTTATCATTTTTCCTCATCCAGCCAACAGTGATGCCCTCATTATTAATCCACTTCTCATGAACTTTGGAGCTTGGATCTGGGAAAAAGACTTGAGAAAGACTCCAAGAAAAGAAGGGTGTTTGAACTATTGGGTAGAGATGGTCACTTGGGAATGAAGAAAGGAATCAGGTTTTCTGGGGATGCACTGAAGCTCCCAGGCTAACACCCCAGTCACACCACTTACTGATGCCTTGGATTTGTTCCTTTATTACTCTTTCAGCTCCCACCTTCTGTAGCTTTAACTATGATTCCTTTTCACTGGCTCTATGTGAGGGAGAATAAAATCTTTAACTTTAAACCCAGTCTTTTTCTTCCAAAGCCCACAGTTGTTTTATAGGCTCTCCAAAAACTTTTTCACTCTTGGAACACACACACACACCCCACACACACACACACCCCTATATTTTCCAGAAATGTTTCCAATTATTAAAGTTTTCTTTTTATTATAGGATGAAGTAGCTCTCTAGGCAAGGACAAGGCGGGGCATGGGAATCAGAGGAGTTAAATGGAAAGTAGCAGGTAGTAGACCCACTTCTCCCCAGAGGTTCCTCTGTGAATGTGAGAGGACTAGATTTAAAGATGTCAAAAACCCACCAGTTGTGAACTATTTATAAAATCACCTTAATGCTTGGTAGAATTAATAATTTCCTTACAATTACAGATTTAGATTGATTGAAACATTTCTGCTATAATAGATGAATAAATGGTATTAATAATACAGTTTAACAAATTTTACATGTTTCTTTAGGATAGATTTTTAGTTGTGGAATAACTGGTTCAAAGGGTTTGATTTGTTTGTGCCACTTGATGGATAAGTGTTACCAAAATGTTTTCTAAAAATACTATAATATTTTACCTGTATGCTATGAGTAGTGACCATATTTAATTTACGGCATTCTCATCATGGTTATTACTTTGAAGTAAGCATTTTCATTAACTTCATAAAGAAATAGCAAGCACTTCTCTATACCTCACACATACACAAAATCTTTGAATAATTTTTAAAAATGTATAAAGTATTATTTTATAGTTTTAAAGCAAAATTTTTTAAAAAATATTTTGCCTTCCTAAATAAAAACATGGACTAAGTTTAATAAAAAAATTCTGATAGAGTAGCTATTCATAATTGGTTTCTTTAGCTTTATTTTTTCAGTGTTTTCTATGTTAAACAGTGTGCCCTTTAACAGAAGAGTATGGTATCTACATTTTAGTAGCAACTAAATAACTCTTAATAGATAACAGTAATACTCAACTATATAGACAATATCAAAATAACATTGTAATTATTTGAAAACTTATCTTGATACTTCTTAGTAAATGTGTGTTTTTTTTTTTTTTTAAGTTTTAATTGTTATTTTACAAGCTAGCCCAAAGCTCTCTCATAATATTATTTCTTTCTGGATAAAAATACTTCTGCTGTCTCTAAAATTTAAAGTGAACCTTTACACAAAGAGCCTTGATTAAAGCTTTTCATAACTAGCCCTGACTGGTGTGGCTCAGTTGGTTGGGTGTTGTACTGTAAAGCTAAAGAAAGTTTGCTGGTTCAATTCCCTGGTCAGGGCACATGCCTGGGTTGTGGGTTCAGTCCCAGGTTGGGGTCCATATAAGAAGTAATTGTTCAATGTTTTTCTCTCACATTTATGTTTCTCTCCCTCTCTCCCTTATCCTCTCTGTAAAAAATAAATAAATAACTAAAATCTTTAAAATATACATTTCACAACTACATGTATTAGTTTCTAAGCTGTATAACACATTTCTAAAAGTTTAGTGGCTTAAAACAGCATGTCTTCATTACGTCTCAGGTGCCAGTTCAGAGTTGTAGATACTCTACTCAGGGTCTCTCAAGGTGGCAATCTAAGGTCAAGCTGTTTTCTTTACAAGAACTCAGAATCCTTTTCCAGACTTTCATGGCTAATGACAGAATTCATTTCCTTGCTGTCATATTGATTGAGGCCCCACTTTCTTGCTGCCTGTTAGCTGGGGGCTGCACAGTTCCTAAAGACTCCTTGACTCTTTTAAATTCCAGCAATGTGCCTGCTCACAGCCACTCACAACATAGCCACTTTCTTCTTCAAAACCAATAGGATAAGCTCTTACTCCACTTAGCTAAGTGAATTCATATATAACCTACTCAGGGGGTGACTATCTCACTTTTGTCATGTTCTATGGGCTAGAAGCAAGTCACAGGTTCTACTGTACTGTAAGGGTAGATAATTGCATGCATGATTTAGTGAGGGCCATTTTAACATTTTGCCTACCTCACTAGGCAGTAAGTAATGCCCTGGGATCCATCAAGCCAACTCTTGGATACTCCCCCCTTTCCTGAGTCTTAAGCGCATTCACCTATTACTCCTCTGCACCGTCTTACTAGAACAAGAATCTAGTCAGCATATATAGGCTGTTTTCTAAATATCTGTCACTCATTGATTTTTCTCTTAATTTAGTATCCGTAATAGTAATAACAGCAATGCATAAACTGTTTGGAGGGCTGTCTAAGTTATGCAACACTTGATGTCATTTTTTAAAATGTCATTCAAACATTCAGTTAAGTTTTAGTCATCCCAGTTGATACAGTACTTTTGCTCAGAAACTAAACTGTAAATTTCACAACTTAGCACAGTGTTAATTGAAGCCTTTTGGTGTTGACCTGATGACTTTTAGACTGTTCCCAAATTGGAATGACCGGATAGCGGCCTCCCCATATTCTTTTGTTGGTCAGGTCATAAAGTCAGTTTTCTCTCATTCTGATTCCATTTGTCATATGCAAAAGGCAACATAAAGTTAGTTTTTGGATTTCCTAGAACTCTGAAAGTTTGTATACACACATTTGATTAAAAAGAGATTAAGAAAAGGAATAAAATAAAGATGAGAATATGGTTCATAAGTAACAACTGAAGGTAAGTCAAAAGTCAAGAAGTAAAAGTTAAATAGGAGAGACAACTATGCTAGAAATAAATGTCAACAAGAAAAAAAGATAAGAAAAAAAGTTTAAATAAGTGTATTTGACTTTAATTCAAGATTATATCAATTTGAAATTTATTTTCATTACTCTGTATTATAAACACTAGAAGCTACATTTTTAAGGTTATAAATTACGTGAAAATTTTAAGTTCTGAAAGTGTAGTTAACTCATATTTATCCTTCACCACTACATTAAAAACAAATCCATAGAATCTCATAAATTAATGAAGGCTGAATCAAGAACAACATCTTTATGTTTTAAAAATGTGGATGCTTCATGAATTTGCATGTCATCCTTGCACAGGGCCATGCTAATACTCTCTGTATCATTCCAATTTTAGTATATGTGCTGCCAAAGCAAGCACAAGAAAAACACCTTAAGTTATAAGAATATAGAATAATAAATGCTCATGCTAACATACATGTAGTAATTATTTGATAGAAATATGCAATTTAATTGTTCTTCACATCAGAAACATAAGCCTATTCATAGGAAAAGAGATAAGAAACTAGAGGCAAGTAGAAATAAATAGAGTTGGGTGAATAAATTATAATTAAATACAATTGAGTATTTCTGTACTTATTAGTAAAGTTGTCATTGGACTAAAGAAATCTAGAAAATTAGCTGATGTATTCAGCATCAAACAGAACCTCAATATTAAATGTGCCATCCTACAATAACATTTTTTTGAATTTCGCAAAGAAAATATACAATTTTACTCATTAAATAAATAATAATTGAAAGAAGAAATTGCTAACAACACCAAGTCTTTAACTTTGTATCCCCAAGGTTATAAATGAATATCATCCAGCATTCTATTTCATAATAGAATTTCTATTTCATAACAGAAAAATGTGATTCATTTTTTTAATAATGTATAGCTTGTAGGTACAGCTGGTGAAGTTAACATAAAATCATGCTGTGTTCTATTTCATTGTAAAAGGCAAATACCAGTCCTTGTGATATAGAATGTCTGCTGTCTTTGTCTTGCAGCTATTAACAATTTCCTAAATATTTTCTCAATATTTGAATAGCCTATCAACTTGAGAAGAGTTTTACCAAACCATCTCCAAGGAATAGAACCTATCAGATCTATCTTATAATAGAAAAATTCAAAAGACAAGTTTAAGAAGGGGTAATTGAGCCTCTGTCTCCTTAAAAACTTTTCTAAAATCCCACCCAGTTGGCATCTACACTCTTTGCACTGTCAAGAACTGTCAATATACTTCCCTGTCAATAAGTAAATCACATTGTGTCCTTATCTGAAAGAGATATTATATTAAATATTTTTAAATTGTTCTATTTGCAAGGTAGAAGAGAAAAATGAATATTGGATGAGTGACTAACAATGTCTGCCACTCCTATGGATATGCACATATGTTCCATAGGATTGCATGACTGGAGATAAATGGGCAAAGAAAGAGAGCAATCTGCTAAGACTGATTACACCACAGGAGTGGAAATGAAGGTTAGAAGAGACTGTTAACTTTTTACAACATTTGTGTATTGTTGCACCTATTACAATGAGAACACGTGCTCATTTTATTTAAAAACAAAATAAAAATAAATTAAAAATGGATGAAAACATGTCACAAATAGAAAAACTGAGTAACAGTAGAGTTTAAGTTAAATGAAAGCCTATGGTAGAATGAATCTATTAAATATAGTACTTGATTTAATATGTTATACTGGACATAATCACCAAGAAACTAAAAACAGATACAGTAAATAGTGGCAGTCTCTCAGGGAATAGATAAGGAGAAGAGGACAAAAACAAGAAATATTAATTTTAGTTTATATAATTTTTAAATCACAAAGAATAATTTACTATATAAACTATGAAGGATTAAGAGGATGATATTAAAGAAAATGAATATGAATGAAGGAACAGAGTATAAATGAGAGTTTGAAAGGGTCAGCCGTATTTGGGGATGGTGAGGACTCGGACTGACAGGCTGGAAGGGAACATCGTGGAGTGGGAGCTCTGCCGGGAAAAGTAGTTGTAGTTGGAGACTTGGGAAGCAAAGAGGGATGACACAGTTATAAGTTTAAATTTATTTGTAGTCAGCAAACATTTATATTGAAATTGAGGTGGGGTTAAAATATGTCCAAGTTTAGGGAAAACAATTGGAGACAAGGCACAAGAACCGGAAGCAGACAGTGTGATGTTAATTTAGTCCTACTGAGGCAGTAGTGATGGCTGAATGTTTTAGGTGATGTTGCTGTATTTATGGACAGGTTTTCCTTGAGGGTGATAATGTTAGCACAGGAAGTATTGTGAACAAAATTTCAGAAGACTCAAATATCTTGACCTCTTACGAGAGCTGTGATGGTCTCAGTATGGTTGCATATAGACTGTAGGGAAGACGAGAGCTACAGTCAGGAAGGCTTCACACCTGCTGTGTGGTCATAATAATAAGATCTTGTGAGTTGTGCCTAAGAGTTTGGATTCCCTTCAGTGGCAATCCAAAAGGAAACCACCAACATTCTTTAAAAAGTTTTTGTTTAATACATGTTGTTCTGAAAAGGAATAAAGGGAAGATTAGATTATGGGAAAGACACATAAACCAATTCAGCAACTCTTAAAAATCCCAGCCCTGGCTAGTATGTCTCAATTGGCTGGATGATTCCTGGGTGGGGCACATGCCTGGGTTGCAAGTTTGATCTCCAGTCTGCCACGTAGGGATGGCAACGAAGCCATGTTTCTCCCCCTCTCTTTCTTTGTCCCTTTCCCTCTCCTCTCAATCTCCCTCTCTCTTTTTCCCTCCTGGGGTATATATATAGATATCTACATATCTATATATCCATATCTCTCTCTCTCTCTCTCTCTATATATATATATATCTCCTTGAATTCTGTCCTTGAATTCTAGATTGAAAAATTACTGTTGTTTCCTTCATCTATTAGAGAAAATAATATCTATTAATAATGAGGTTTACTTAATTTAGAAGTCACTTTTTTCAGTATTATAAGCTACATTTAGGTGTCATGAACAAAAGTGTGAAGAAATCTGTATTGCAAGTAATAAATATCTTTGCATATTGGGTAACAAATTTCACTATAAACACATTACACTTAAGAGCATCACTTCACACCATAAAACTGATCAATATGCTTCTTCAAGATAAAACTTAAAGCACCTCTAAACTGTCTGAATAATGCATTAATTTACATGACTATATTGTAAGGATATGTGTAGGGAGTGCATATGTTGTTGTTAAATGTCTTATTTGACCTAATGTTCAGAAGTTCAGAAGAATATTAATGTATTAGGCTTTTCAAAACACCAGAAGTCACTGTGTTAACCAGGAGGCTAGACTATCCTGTGGTAACAAACAATGATCAATCTCAGTGGCTTGAACAACACCAAAAAACCCAAAACACACAAACAAAACAAAGGTACACTTCTCATTATGGCTATAAATTTATCTCGAGTTTACCTCACAATAGGACCCTGGGAAATAAAATTTTATCTATCTGGGATATGCCTGGTTACCATGGCAGAAGGGAAGGGGACATTAGTACAGATCGTCTCTTAATGGCTTCTGCCTAGAAGTCATGCATGGCCTTTGCAGTTATATTTCATTTGTAAAAGCAAGAAGGACCATTTTAACTTACATATAGAAATACAGTGGGAATGGGGAAAGAGGACAATGGTGGAAAGAAGGGGAAGGGACTAGACAAAGAACATGTATGAATGACCCATGGACATGGACAACAGAGTGGGAATTAACTGCGGGAGCCGGGGGTGGGGGTGGGATGGGTGGAGGGGGACAGAGGCAGAAAAACTGAGACAAGTGTAATAGAATAAACATTATTTAAAATTAAAAATAATAAATAATAAATTTTTTAAAAAATTAGAAAGAAATACACAACCCTATCATGTATCCAGGAAAAAAAATAGAATTATAGGTCAATTGAACCAATATCTACCACTGTAATTCACTAATTATTCTTTCAATAAGAAGGGATTTTGATAAACAAGAAAAGCAAATACAGGTGGGAGAATGTTTCTATCCACGTACTTAACATTAACACATTTGGGCTAAGTACACTCAGTAACAGGGTTTTGAATGAACATTAAATCTGATGTTACTTTGACTTTATAGAAAAGTATGTTAGAAATATAGAAGAGAATAGAACTTGTAATTTACTCCAAAATCTTTTTTTAAATACATACTTTGGCCCCAGTTGTTAATGAACTCTCATACAAGGTATTTATATGTTGTGCATAACTGACAAGCACATGCCACATTTTAATATTCTTTATTGGTTGCAGAGAGGCATCTTTCCCCTTAAAGACTAAATTTAAAACAGAATCTGAACAACGATTTTAACATAGTACTATCTGAAGTAGTTATTTTTGAAGTTTTTGTTCCTACCAATCTCTAAAATTGGAATGATTGGTGAAAAACAAAATATTACATAATGTAGTATAGCAGACTAATAAGCATCCACTTAATTTTCCTGTACTCAGTCCTTAAGGAATTTACAAAGAAAATAAAAGCAGGCACAATGCTTTCCTTTCAGCCAATAAATATAACCTTCCCTAAAAGACAGATGCTTTTGTTAGTGCCAAGGTATTTTGAGGTCTCAAATATTATTAATGTTATTATATAAAGGATGGCAACTACATACTGACTACTTTCTGGCTACCAGGTATGATATAATAGGTGTTTTACATATATATGCTCTTTAATGTGTATAGAATATTCCAATTTTCTTATAACAGTTTTTTGAGGTATTATTCATATAGCATAAAATTCACTTTCAAAATGTACAATTCAGTATTTTTTAGTATTTTGAATTGTGCAACCATCACCACTATCTAATTTTAAAACATTATCATCAACCCGAAAAGAACCTCCATGAGCATTAGTACTTGAGTACATTCCGGGCTTTTTTCAGCCCCTGGCTCCCACCAATTTACTTTTGCTTCTATGTATTTGCCTGCTTGTACATTTTATGTAAATGGAACCATACAGCATGCATTCTTTTATATCCAAATTCTTTCACTTAACATAATGTTTTCAAGTTTCATTCATGTTTTTTTCTTTTTAATTTAATTATTTTATTGTTCAAATATATTTGTCTCCATTTTCCCGTCACCATTTTCTCCTGCCCCCCCTCACCTCCCTCACCCCCCTCCCTTAATCCTTCTCCACTATGGCTTTGTCCATGGGTCCTTTACACGTGTTTCTTGACTTGACCCAACGTTCATGTTGTAGCAAGCATTAGTACTTCATTCCTATCTACAGCTGAATAATATTCTATTGCATTCATGCACTACAATTCATTTATCCATTCATCATTTGGATTGTTTCCCCCTTTTAGCTATCAATAATGCTGATATGAGCACTTGTG